CAGAATCAGTGAGGTGGAAGATCAGCTGCACAGAGCCAACAGGCAACAACAAACAATGGCAAGAGACCTCAAAATAGCTCTAGAGCGAATCAGAGTCCTAGGAGATGATTCTAAGAGGAACAACATTTAGAATCATTGGAGTACCAGAAGGTCAGGGAAACAATCCCAACGAAAAAGCCACGATTTTAGAGGGTATGGTGCCGCCAGCAGGTCAATCTGTACCTGTGAGGCGAATGCAACAGCAGCCTGATGGCGCCTTCAGACTTCCAGATACCCCAAAATTGCTGCTGTGCCTTTAGCCAGATGCCAACAACTTGGGGCAAAGTTTACCAAGAAAGTAAACAGCCAAAAGATAGGTATGTGGGAGACACACTCACAAACCACCTCCAGCTCAGCTATATAATTGGAGTCATGGCCTGTCTGGTTCCTGATCAAACTACTTAACAGCCATTATCCCAGAGACTCAGAAACAAATCTCGAAACCCAACGGCTTTTGGCAGAAATACGTCCAGTCCCTGCAGTAAGTTACAGGCGCTGGGCCACCCCAGGTGGAAATAGGTTTTGTGCCTTGGCCTGTTCCCCCTGGCGGCCCGGTCGCCGCCATCCTCCCGAGGCCACTGGACAGTCAAGTTTGGGCCCACAGCGACGAGACACATGGGGCCTCATGGGATAGGGGTAGAGCTGGCCTTTTCCTCCCCGTCCCAACGAAATCCTGAGTCGCTGCCCACGAACAGCCTCTCTGGCTCATGATCAAGCTGTTTAATGGCCATGATCCCAGAGACTCAGAAACAAATATTGAAACCCAGCGGCTTTTGGCAGAAATGTGTCCGGACTGCACAGTAGGTTACTGTTGCCAGGCCACCCCAGGGGGGAAAGGGTGCTGTCCCTCTGCCTGCTCCCCCTAGGCACTTCGGTGGCTGCCATCCTCCAGAGGCCATTGGACAGTCAGGTTTGGGCCCTCAGTGACAAGACACACAGGGACCTCACGGGATGGGGTTGGAGCCGGCCCTTTCCATCTCGTCCCAACGAGACTCCAAGTTCCCGCCTACTAATGGCCTTTGTGGCTCCTGATCAAGCTGCTTAACGGCCGTGATCCAAGAGACTCAGGAACAAATCTCAGAATCCAGCAGGTTTTGGTAGAAATCCCTCCAGAATTAATCGTTAAAATTTCGGAATTTCAAAATCGCGCGGCCACTACTGCAACATCATATGTTATTCATAACCAGAAATAGAAAACAAATTGTCAACTGTTGCCTTTTCAGCAGATCTGAGTGTTGGGGTAAAATCTCAAATAATAATGGTGGGTCTAGTGTCAAAATATTGAATGTAATCAAAGTAGAAAGAGAGTAATGTGGAAATTGTCTGCCCCACAGGTAGGGGGAGGGTTTAGGATGGGGGCATAGTGGGGTTTTGGGTGGTGGAGAATGGGCACTGGTGAAGGTATGGTTGTTTCATTGTATGACTGAGACTTAAACTGAAAGCTTTGTAACTGCTCTCATGGTGATTCAATAAATAAAATTATATATATAAAAAAAAGTAAGGTGGAGTTCATGCCCAATTCAATCAGCTAATCAGTGGCTGAATAAATAGCAGTATTCCTACATAAAAAAAAAGAAAAGTCATGGTTAGATAAACAGTTCATAATATCTGAACATAAAAGAAACTACACTTCTCAAATCACCATGGACCTAGAGCACTGTAAAACGCATTAGCCTCTAGAAGATTCCTGTTTATTTTGCTCATTTTTAATGTAATTTATATGTATCATAAATAAAATCATGGAATATTTTCTTCTGTAAATTTGTAACAACTATTCTTGATTGTGTTAATGATGCTGGTTATATATCAACTGTCGCTAGCCTAAGAATAAAATAAACAGTGTAAAATATATCCTTAAAATACCATGTCAGATTTCAATTCTAAATACAGATTACAAAGTAACAGAGATAGAAAGTTTTCTATATTAAATGTTTAAAGATAGTCAAAGAAGCCAGTAAAAGGTAAAGTATTCTTTATAAATTATGAGCTCCTCTCTAACTTCAATTTAGCTTTAGGTTTGGTTTTGTTTTGAGGTCACACCTGAAAGTGCACAGGCCTTACTCCTGGCACTGAGCTTAGGGATCACTTCTGGTGAGGCTCATGGTATCATATGGGATACTAGGACCAAACCCAGGTGAGCCGTGTACAAAACATGTGTCTTACCCTCTGTACTTTTTCTCCAGCCCTTCAGTTTTAATTTCAATGATACACTTTATTGAATGTTTACCATCTGCTTTTATGTTAATATATCTCAGACATTTTTTTTCTGCTAGAGATTCCTTAGCAGACTCCTCAGGAAGGGATCACATGAACAGCATACCTTGAGTTTTGTGTGTTTTTGAAGTTTTGGGGTTTTTTCCTCTCATATGCCATTTTTGGAGGATAAAAATTCCTTTGGTTCACATTTTCTTTCCTTGACTAACTTAAAAGTGTTATTTCAATTTTTCTAGTATGAACTGTACTGCCAAAAAGTCAGATGACAATTTAGTTTTATTTTATATTCATTTTATGTGAATTTCTTTCATATGTCCTTTTTTTTTGCTTTAGATATCTAGATTTCCTTTTTTACTAATTATAGTACAAGAAGCTTTATTAGACTATGTCTTGGTTTTGGTAGGTTTCACTAGTGACCTGATCTGTTCTGTAATAAGTTCATTTAGCCACATTTACTATAAGTATAATTAAAATAAAAAATTAAAATATAAATTCTATCAGTGATGAGGTATGTTCTGTAATATGTGTATATGACAAAATTTACTGTAAGTAAAATTAAATTTCTTATATCAGTAATGGTTTCATGATTTATTTATATTTTTCACTTCCTCATAAATAAATACATCTACTTGAGTTTGTTGGATCTTCTTTGCTAGTTACAATATTTATCTCCGTTTTGGGGAATATTTTATTCTTTCTTCTACCAAAAAAATGTTTGTCCTTCTCCCTTATTCCTCTAAGGAATTATCTTGTTATTCATGCTTGTCCTCCTAGTTTGATATATTCTATTTCTAATTCCTTCTTGAATTTTATCACAATATTTCTAGGCTTTACAGTGATTCACTTTGCTATTTAATGTCATTGTTCTCTTTTCATGGTTTTTGTGCATTGTTATTTTACTAATGTTATTTTTGAATGGTAGGGTATAGTTTTGACATGTTTTTTGGGCACTGGTTTCTGGCATACTTTCATTTTCCATGGGCATGTTATTCTAGCCTTTATTTTTTCTATGCAGTAAGTTAGCAAGAGATTTGACTTTGATAATTTGGTTCCATTTATGTAATATTAGTTTTCCTGAATAAGTTCAGAAAGAACATTTAGTTAAGATAACTTTTCTAACGTGACAGAACCCCCTATTTTTGTGTAACATTGAAAGTGTGGCATTTGCTTCCTGAGATTTTGAACCTCTTCTAATTGATCAGGACCCTTTCTTTCAATGTATTTATTGTTTCTAACCTGCTCAATTTGAATTCCATGCCCAAGTATGGAATTTCACCTTGGAAGAGAACTCAGATTTTCATATTTTGCCATGTGAGCAAAATTCCCATTGGTTTTAGCAGCTCTTCTATATTTTGTTGACTCTTTTGGAGTTCTCATGTTCTTAGTTCTCTTGTTCTCAGTTACCTTGCTCAATTCCTTTGCTTTTCCAACACATATGCTGACACAGTGCAAGTCTTGCTATTCTTGACTGTTTCTCCCACTTGTACTCTGGGGCTCAAGCTATGTTTTGTTACCTTACTTTTTATTTTATTTTTTAATAAATAATACAGTGCTTTGATTTTGCAAGTAACTTTTTAAGAGGAGATTTAGACAATCTAAAAATCTATGCCTTCACTGCCTTTTTTATGCTCACAAAATTCTCAAATACTCTTTAAAACAGGTTCATTTACCATGAATGAACTTTACTTCTATAGCTAGGACTTAATAGCTAGACAGGAAATTTGAACTAAATAATATAATATTCTATGTGTGTGTGTTTCTTGGTAGGTTTATGTGGGTAAATGGGGTACAGTCACTGACAGAGTTACTATATATGTATGTGGGTTCATTTTAGAAGTTCAATGCTTTGACCTGAAAATTGTTTTAAATTTTTAACATAGGAAGTTTTCTCTTTGGTTTGTGGCCATGGCTCTGTTTGTAGAACGTCTTTATTTTAAGATTCATTTTTGTCTCTGAGAAGGACTCTAGCATGGTCTTGCTAATTATCTCAGGATGAGCCATTTTTATCTTTCTCCCTTAGAATCCACTTCTGATCTGGAAATAAAGTGTGAAGGCTTCTAGTTTTCCTGGAATACTTACTTTGTTCACCACTTCAATTTTTGGTAGCAGACTAAACATGTCCAGTATGATTTCAAAACTGGCCTTGTTGAACAAATTTATCTTACCACTTACATACCATTTGGTAGGTTATTGATGTTAAGATCTGAAAATACCCCAAACTTGTAATAGAGGACTTGCTTTAAGACAATTTCTATCAATATTAATAAATTGAAGATTTACTTTTGCAGCCTTTTTTTAAATTTATGCCATCATCTATTTGAGATTGTTATTATGGCAAATAAAAGTGTACAATATCAAACCAATTGACTCCAGGATCATACAGATTTAACTTTGTGCTGCTCAGATTTAACAGTGAAATATTGAAGTTCAGAAATGTCTTCAGTATATTATGCTGATAGAAAATGAAAAGCTTACAGTGGTCAGAGAGGTAGTATATATATATATACAAGACCAAGTGCAATTTAATAGAGCTAGTGGTGACAAAAAATGTAGAGAAGAATGTAGTGTTTCTATATACTGAGGATAACAAAATATCTTTGCAATGAATATAATGTATATACCTGTGAGTCTGTGACACTTCATTCAGTGTGAAAAGTATGTAAAAATTTTATTAAAGTGATCTAACATACATACCAGAAAAGATAGAATTACTGGTGAATTGTTTTAAGATAAAAGGCTTTTTATTTTATATCCAAGAAAACTTATAAATGTCTAGAGAATAAATGAATAGACAAGTCTTTTATAGAAAAAATATATACTTTATTTTCAACTAGAAAGGTGCAAACATGTAACTTTTGGTCACACTTTCAACAAATAAACTGCCCAAAAAACAGTCATAGTCAAAGAAGAAACAAATGTTTCCAGGTGGAAAAACTGATCAGCCCTCTTAAGCCACTCACTTATTAGTAAAGGCCATTTGTTTATGACCAGTGAGGCTACCACATTTCCAACTCACAAATGAGACTTTCAAGGGCTAGCTGCCTCACCTTTAGCAAACTCTTTAGGTGGACTGTCACTCTAACTGAGCAGAATTTCCATTTGAATATCCATTTCACGCTTTGAATTATCAAACAAGTTTGACATCCTTAGCTATGGTGTTCAGAGTTGAGGCTACCATTTGAAATATCAAAGCATTAAAAACAAAAAGGCACAGACACATTTAAATTAACTTAGATAACTGTACAAATATATATATTTATATATATACATGGTATTTACAATATCAATTAAAAATCTGGCCTGTGACTGGCAAGTTAACTTGCCACAAGCTGTCCAGTCTAATTAGACAGGATTCTGATTCCCGACTACCGTCATTTGAATCAGAATGTCAGAGCTGAACCTGCTGTTCCGACTTCAGAGAACTTGTCTCAGCCTTAGGATGGCTGGAGAAAGCATAGCCAAGCTGTGGCTGGAGGTTCAGGCAGGTCCGTGGGCAAACTGAAAATGTCCCTTCTCAACTACACCCTGATAGCAGGCGCATTTCTACTCTCAACGACAAGCCTTTTTGTAGGCACCCTCCCAACTGGCTCACGGCCACACCTTACCATACATTCTGCCCCTACCATACTAATGTAGTCCCAAGGTCAAGTCTTACTTTCTTCAAACCAGTGTCTGGGGTTGATAAGACTATTTGAATGTCACGTGGAAGAGTAGTTTGAATTTGGGGGGGAATTTTCCTTTCTCCCCCTGTTAACAGATTTAAATACTTTGCTACTGAAATCATGTTTACACAAAAAATGAGATGCGAATCAGTTCAAGTTATAGCCTACTGAGTTCACGTGTCTCTCACTTTCTCTGGCTTTATGCCATGTCTCCGTACATCTTCTTGTAGAACAATGACTCAAAGATGTCATTGTCTCCAGGACAGTTATAATGGCAGGCGCAGGTCTTGATGAACATCATACTTTTCTTCATGACCTCCCCATCGGGGCACTTGAACTCCACGGGCAGGGTGGTGGTTCTGTGGGGGGTACAGCATCGGCCATCCGTGCACACTCCACAGAACTTAGTGCGGTAGGACTTCACGCTGGTGCAGCCAGAGAGCTCAAACTTGACAGGCTTAGCGATTTTGGGGGTCCGGATGCACTTTTTGCCCTTCTATGGAAAACATGGAGAGAGAGAGAAAAAAAAATCAATGACTACAAAGGGGAGTGACTTTCTTTGACCTCTGTGTGCTCTAGTCTTATGCTGTTGGATTGCTGTTTATATTTGGGAGAGAGGAAGTTTGAGTCTCCTTTCCCAGTTTTCTAAAAATAGGCAGAGAGCCTCTGTTGGAATGTCTCAAGTTAACATTGTGGAGAGTTTCTAGTGGAAAGCTGCTAGTTCCGATTAGAAAACATCTCATTGCAGCAAGACAACTCACGGCTCTGATATTTTTAGGAGATAATAGGCCAATAATAACCAGGTTGGTAGAAACCTCATCTTGGTCCTTTGCACTATCACCCTCCCACCCCAGGAAAATGCCTGAATAGGAACAGCTCTGGTACCTTAATGTTCTCTTCCAGATCAACTTCGCAAGGCCTGACCATGCAGAGGCGGCTCTGCTTCTCCAGCCTGCAGAAAGCGTTGTCATTGGTAACACGGGTGGAGATGCCCATACCGCAGGTCTTGGAACAGGCGCTCCACTCCGTGGTCTGGACCAGGCAGTTGGCCCGAATCATAGTTGGATCTGGGCCAAAAGTGTCTTCCAGCCGGTAAGCTGTGTGGGCAGAGCACACAAACAGAAAGAAGGTGAGACGCTAGGACCAGGCATTTCCCTCCTGCCCTTGGCAAAGTTAGGGCCCCTGGCGCCCTGCCCTCTCAGCCTGGGAATCAAAGCACAGACTTCAGGACTCACCTGCCAGGGCTGGGCCGACCACCGTCTGGTCTTTGGGTTCATCGCACACCCATTCCTCACAGCATTTGCCAGGCAGCTTGACCCTCCGTGGGAAGGGGCAGTCAGGGCTGGGCAGGCGAACGTCCATGCTGCACAGGGGCACGCAGCCCACCGCCCCGTCCAGGCAAGTGCACTGGTATTTGCAGCTGCTCTGGAAGGACTCTCCGCTGCGGTACACGGTCCCACCAAAGACGCAGGGCGCACCATCTTTGGCTGTCGTAGGAAAGCAAAGCAAAACGGTTATTCAAGTCAGACACCGGTGGTCTCTGGTTCACTAAAGCGGGTCAGTGATGCTTGTCGGGGACCGGGTACCACAAGGGGCGGGTGCACACAGCCAGAGGGCAAGTCTCAAAGTAAGTAGCTCGCTCTCGGGCGGGCGGGCAAGCGAGCCTCAGCAGGAAGGCGGTGTTTCATCACCAAGTGTCCCCAAGCACCCATCCATCCGGGCCAGCCCTCCTGAGCTCAGAGTCGCCGGCAGGGGCTGCACGACTCACCGGTGCACACGCCGATCTTGCGGTTAGCCGGGGAGCCGAAGTCGCAGAAGAGTCCCTTGTGCGGGTCGCAGGGGTCGCGCTCGGTGCACAGCTCACCCAGCTGCTTGGCGCACACCCGGCAGCAGCCGCAGCCGTCCAGCACGAGGCTGACGCCGGCCGGGCAGCGCGGCGCCGGGCCGGGCGCGCATTGGCACTGCCCGCTGCAGTCTTGGCCGGAGGCGGGCTGCGGGGAGGAGAGGGGCGGTCAGTAGGGCGCACGCCCCGCCGCGACACACACACACACACACACGCACACGCACACGCACACACACAAACTCACATACACACACAAGCACGCGCACACACTCACATACACAAGCACACGCACACACTCACATACACACACAAGCACACAGGCAGACACTCACACACCACACACACACACACACACACGCAGATCACAGAAACACACACACAGTCACACGCACACATGCACACTCACACCTCTATCCGGCCGCGCTTACCCGGCTGCACACGGCCAGCAGGAGCACGACGGCGAAGCGGACGGGACCGGCGGCGGACATGGTCAGGGTTCGCGGTGGTCGCAGGGCTGGCGGCCGGAGCGGCTGGCGTCGGGGGCTGCAGTGGCGCTGGTGGCCTCCTCTCCAGCGGGAAGAGTTGTTGTGTGAGACTGGGGCTGGCGGCTGCGGCTTTTATACGCTGCCGGCGCCGCGGGCTCGCCAATGAGCTGAATGGAGTCCTACACAAACAGGGACATTCCTCGCATTCCTCCCCACCTTCCTGCCTCATCAACTCACACCGGATTGATCCTGACCCCTTGACACTCAGCATTCCTCCCGTCTGAAAAAAGCTGGCACGCTCCAGCTCACCAAAAAAAAAAAAAAAAAGTAAGAAAAAAAGAGAGGCTCAGTCCTCCAATATTTCTAACATCAAATAGGAGTTTTTTCTTCCGTGCCTCTACCCCAACACTCTCGGCTTACATTATTTTAAAACACATATGCAAGTATTATTTTTTAATAGGACTTCTATTTTTAATAGCTGAGCCTTTTGTACCCCTTGACACAAACCTATTTTTTTTTTCCTTCTTCTTCTTCTAGGAGCTGCATCGCTGTACAGACGGTCAACAGCAGGGACTCCTGAAACACTCAAAAGGGTTTCTTTGACTTTTTAAAATAATTTTTGCGATGGCTTTTGTAGTTGAGGCTGTGTGCCTTTGAAAGGACTTTTTCTTGGGAAGGAGGAAAAGGAGGACCTTGTTTGTAATCAGCTGAAATCCCCAGGCAGCTACCCTGCAAACTGCCTTGTAGGAATTTGATCATTGGGATAATGGTTTGAATGCACATTGCCAGGCAAAAAGGAGGACTGGGTATTGATATACTTATTGGGGTGAGAGTGGGGAGTTCACAGCATTTTTTCTTTTTTTCCCTCTTAGTGTATGTGGCAGTTTCATCATTGGAGATATTGGGGGGAAAGGAGAGGAGTGTTCTTCAAAAGAAAACTTTCAGTGGGTCTTTTTCTGTGTCAGAGCAAATGATGATATCCAGAAGGTAGACGCTCTGGGTGTTGGGACGAGAACTCAGGGGTGAGTGGCAGAGGGACTAGGTAGCAGGGGCCACATAAAATCTTAGTGATTTACTAGGGACATTTTAAAAACAATTGTGGGACTCTGAGAAATAAATGATTCCTTTTGTACTTAAAACTGTAATCTACAAATGTGGATTGAACTCAGTTTGTCATGCAGAAAAAAATTATATAATAAAAACACTATCTCCTTTTACCTTTTATCTGTATCAACTAAGTGTATCAGTAAGTATATTGGTGACTATTTATAGCTATCAATAGTAATTGTGATTTCTTTTAACTTAAGGGGCCTCTCTCTAGCCTAATGGAGTAAGATGAGATCAAGGAAATAACAAGTTTTTTTTTTCCTGCAATGTGTGTATACATATCAAATATGACCAATAAAAACATAAGCACAACTTTAATTTTCTTAATATTCCTAGTTAATTTCAAAAAGTCTCTGATTAATTTATTGTACTTTTGGTTAGAATATTATTTAAAGATTCTTTCTGTAGTTTCTGTTACTGTCTTAAGTAAAGGGAATGAACCCAGGACTATGCCTATTTCTCAAATTCTTCTGTTATAATACTTCCTCAGAATCTGACACAGAAATTGCTGAGTAGACTTGGTTATAAAGCTTCAATGTCTAGATTTGAAATATGACTATCTATTTCCTATGTAAAGACAGGCTTTAGAAACAACACAACATTATAGATTTCTAATTGGAAAACAGTCTCTTTAGACTGGCTACATTTTTCAAAGTTCCAATTCATTTGTATTGACAAATAGCCAGCACCAAAATAACCACTGCAAATTCAGCATGTGCTGCATCATCTGTACACAATTACCAGTTACACAGTCCACATGCCCTGTAGTTTCATTGTGTATCAAAAGTGTGAATAACTGGCTAGCAAAGGGGGCCTCTGAAGCTCAGAAAGAATTTTCATCATTGTCAGTTAATGTTCCTTCCAAGCATTCCTTAAAGAGGCCTCAAAATGCCTATTTAAAGAAGGAACATTCCAAGTTACGTTAATAGCCACATGAGTATTAAAGACACCTTGACCCCCAACGTTTTCTCTCTTTGTGGATGACTTGAAAAGCCCAAAATACATAGGAAGCCACAGTGAAATCTTTCAAGACCTAACCCCCAATTACATCTACCACTGAAGGTTTAAAAGGTGTGCTTGATGGAGAAGAGGAGCAACGAGGGACATGAAGCTCAAATGTTGCCTTAGGTGGAATGTGGCCTCAGTGGTGAGCTCTCCCCTGGCTTGCAGGATGAGGTGGCTGGGAAAACTGTTGGGAATTTTTGAATCCTCTGGAGAGTCTGAGAGCCACTAACAACAACTTCTTGTATGAGCAGAGACTCATTCATAGACGAATAAATTGCTGGACAGGGTTACAGTTGGGTGATTTGGGCTGCATTCTTAGAATTGCCATTCACAAATTGTAGGGAGCTCATGAATATTTCCCAGGTTCCATTTATAAAATGACAATAATGAAAACGTTTTATTTAGTAGAAGTTAATGATATGGTTAATTAGATCACAATTCTCAAGGAACTGGGACTCTAGTTTTCTTTCAATCATTCTTGAAGTTTTGGGTTCCTCCACACACATAACAGGTCTGTTCTCACTCTGATGTAGACTTAACCATGTCAAGACATATTATACAAGCAATATGTCCTTACACCAAATTCACGAGACCAGAATGATAGAGCAGTGGGTAAGGTACTTGCCTTGCATGCAACTGACCCAAATTCGATTTCTGGCACTGCTATGTTCCTTCAAGCCTCTCCAGAAGAGATCACTGAGTGCAGAGCCAGGAGTAAACCCTGAACACACCTGGGTGTGATCTACTTCCTCCCTCCACAAATTCACAAGGTCCTCCAAAGTCTCCAAAAGTACATAGTTATTCCAAATGGATGATTTTTTTATATTGATGATAGGAAAATAAATGTATTGAAATACACAGGACATTGAAATCAGAATAGAAATTATGCTGCATATTATAGGGTGAAACTTATGATCAGAATTCTTGAAGAATAGAATAAGACATTATTATTGATACACAGGCAGATATGAGATACGGGACACAGAGAAGGATAAAGAGAGGGAGGGTAGAAGGTAGAGGTGGAGAGAGTTATCCAAGACATTCACAGATTCAAAATTATGTTTATATTGTGATCTGGACCATAAAGTACCAGGAAATTCAAAGGAAAAAACTGACATTCTGTCCTTAATTCCTGCCATGGGATCTGAATTCTTGTACTATTATAAATGACTCAGCAAATGTTTGTGTGTGCCTGGCCGGTAAAGTGGTAATAGTGGCTTCTTATAACTTTGTCCAACTCTGACTTGTCCCAAATCTTTTGATTGACAGGAGGTAATATTTGAGGAGGATGTAGGGGAAACCATTAAATTTATAAGAAAAATAGCTGAGATGCACTAATTTTGTCTTGTAAGCAAGTGTTTATCTAGCAAATACTTTTTAGAAAGCATTCCTCAACCCCCTCCCCACCTTCGCCACCACGCCTGGCAAAATGAGGAATTCACTGAGCTGGCCACAGTCTTATTTACAGAGCTATATAAGGTATGTGTGGGTCTACTTGGGCATCGTTTGTACAGGTCGTTTGGTTAAGTCTTGTAAGATGTTCAGCTGTGGATGTACTACATTCCTTCCCTTAGTTTTTTTTTCTCTTGTTTTTCCTTCCTGAAAAAAGGTTACTTGATCAGGTATCAGACATAGAGAAAACCTGGCTGGACTACAGGAAAGTGGCTAGACTTGGAGTGTTTGTGTACTTAAAGAAGGAATCTTGCACATTTTCAACTTTCAGTCATAGACATTTTCTTATAAGAGCAAGTAGGACTCTGTGCCAGCCCTCAAAGCGGAAATCAAAGCTCCCAGGGAAACACACCAGAGGAATGTGTTTCAGAGCCAAGAACCATACGCAATGCATACAGTCAGCTATCAGGGTTACAGGAAGCCAGACTGTATATGGGCATCTGGACAGTGAATGATCTGTCAATATAGTGTGTTAAAAGTGGGTTTTTACTGTTTGTAAAATGCCTCAGATGGAAATGGGTTCCACCAAAAATGGTATGCCAGAGATCCTTCAGAAAAATAGTAATAAATATTATCCTCAAATCTTCAGGGAGCCTGGCTTGGCTTACATTGCCTTATATTTGCTTAAAATGAAGGTTATAGAAAGGGCATACTTGCCGGGAGCTCAGAGGTGGGAAAGAATTGCGGATGTTTACTACCTAAATTACTTCAATTTCCTCCATGCTTTTCCTTCCTTATAATTAGTTCTCTGAATTTTTTAGGATATTTTTGATGTAAAGGTATTTATCAAAAGGTTGTCAGGGCTGTTCCATGTTCAAGGTCCGTTCAATGTTTGCCCGTTCATTACTCACTTGGATGTGGAATTGAGGATTAGAAGAGGGAAAAAGGAAAGGGGTTTAAAAATATGACATTCCATTCAATTTGCCATTTGTCTCATTTATTTTTATTTGTATGAGTAGAATCTGGTGTTGTCTCTAGTCTGTTTCTCTCAGAATGGGCTAGAGGGCAGAGATGCTATTAGAGGTAGAGACTGGTGACCCTTACTTATTATAATATAGCTACCAAGAGTATCCACAACCCTTTGCTGTAAGGAAAGGGCTGTAAATTTGTTCATAAAGAAAAGTCTTCTCAAATTGATATTTAACGTGGTAAATGAGTGGGAATAAAAAAAAGGGAGGTTACCATTCTTTCACATGTGTAATTTGGGAAAATTAAAGCACTAGATTTAAATGAGAGAAAACAAATATTAGGTACTGTATTTCAAAGTATATGAGTAAATGGAAAGCTAAGTATTTAAAAAGGACTAGTGTAAAGTATATGTGAATGTGTCCTTGGGGATTCTGTGGAGGCTTGCAGGGGGAATGTGCAATTTAAGCCTCATTAATTTATCCTTAGAAATGTGCTTTCCACAAGACTCAACACTAAGAACATGTTAATGATCTCTAATTCCGGGGATTAATGGCTCCAAGATGAGATACAACAATTATCACACACTTTACTCTAAGGAAATCTTTTTGGATCATTTTTAGTCAATTATTCATAACAAGCAATACAAATTAAATTAGTTAGCATCAGCCATTGGGGCAGGTTTGGGTCATGGTGGGAAAATTGAAAATAATGGTGGTGAGAAGGTGTAATGGTGGTG